CCCCACCCCCCTGAAAAAAAGAACTGTCACTGGGTCTTTTAATGGCTCTATGAATTGGTCCAATAGTTTACTATTATGGACAGTTAATTATTAAAAATGTTTTTTTTTGATAATCCAGCTGAAAATGGGCAGAGGCTACCTTTCAATCCCATACGAATTGATAATTGGACATAATTTGATATGATCTGCGTTGTGCATAGCTGCGGGAAGTAGTACGTTAGGCTTTATTAGTAGTCAAGAATAAGTGGTTAAGTTTGTTATAGAGTTAAAGAGTTTGACAGTTTGGGCCCTCACTCATTTACACTTAAGTCAATTAGTTTATCACTTTACATTCTAGTCCATCTTCCTAGTAAGGAGGTATATGTATCGGATTGAGCTCATTTGAAAGATATCAAAGTATGAATTCTGCTCTCTTCTCTTCTTAGTTCCTTAATTCCTTTAATTTTCTATCTGTTATTCCCAAGTTACATCATAATTGGACTATCTTTTACATTGTTAGTCAACATATCCGGGGTTGTGACAGAGAATGCGAAGCTTTAGGATGTAAATCTTACATATGCCCAGGGCGGATGTAATCTTAATGTTATGGGTTCATTCAATCCAGTAGTTTGGCTCAAACCTTGTATATGTGTTAAAAGAAATCACTAAATAAGTAGATTTTTGAATCCAATAAATCAAATGGACTGTGGTAGAATTTTGAACTTGAACCCATAAAGTTTAAATCTTGGATCTGCTTCTGCATAGGCGGACCAATTGATTGATTCGGAAAGAAACTGGCAGAACTCTGTAAAATCGTTTGACTTTCAGTGATATTCTCATGGATCTCTTAATATGTATTATCTCTTTCTGTAGGGATGCACTTGATGCACTGAATTTGGTTCGATATTGCTGTCGTAGAATGCTGATGACACATGTTGACCTCATTGAGAAGCTTCTCAACTACAACAGTACTATCCTCCTCTTTGCAAATACATACTATGTTGTGAACAAGTAGATTAACATAGTATGCTTGAAATAAGAACTTTTGGTCCATCGACTATCTGTGACTACAAATCGTTTGACTTGATATTGGAGCATAAAATGTGTACTTATCCTATAATGCCAACTGACAGGGCTATATTAATTTAAAAATTGTATCCTTGTTGGTTTAGGATATTGTGCAGTGTCAATAGAGAGGGCTGTCACAATAATACATGTAAAATTCTCAAGCAATTATCCTCCAGCTCTATTGTTTTTTTGCATTAAGGTGAAAGGTTACTTTGTGGACATAGTTCTTCATGTGAGCTCGAAGAGTTACACTCACTTTCAGTTGCTGAATATTTTGATACCACCAATGGTGAATAAACTACTTGTTCCTGACTTATTCTCCTTTCTTAATCATGTATTCAGAAGGTAGAACCTCTTCTTAGAACACCTCGCAGTCCTCTGTCAAATTGATTGATTACCTGTGTAGATTAGCATTTCCATATAGATTTATCGTGCTTTGTGATAGAAGCGTAGATCCAGAGTAGGAGGTCATTTCACCAGTCCCTTCATCCTATCATGGAAGCACCAAATCAATACCCATGACCAGGGTCTGTCGTGTACTTCCCAGAGGCGGTCAGTCGATCTATCTTTAGCAATAGCACCATAGCATTTCCTACAAATATGTGCCTTGACTGGACATTTGGAAAAGTCAGCATCACCTCAACAAAGTAGACTATGATGCTACTTAAGACCTAGCCAATATGGAATACTAACCACATGGTTACCTGTTGCAGTCATCAAAAGAACAATTAGAAAAAATATACTCATGTTCTGCAGAGAGGTGAACATGGGAATACCAGATAAAACTACTATTAGTTAATGCTTTTATCTGTACGTGGGATTATACTGGGTATGTTGTTGTTGTTGTAGTTGTAGTATGTTTCAACTATAACCAATGATGAACTTTAATAACTTTTTAAGGTCCAATGAGATCGATTTTCTAAGGAAGCCTTGTTTGTTCATCTGTATCTAATCTTGCTGCTAAAATTGATATTATATTCTTGATATTTCCATCTTCCAAGGTGCTGCGTTTGGTTTATCACTTCTCAATACTTGCTGTTAAGAGAAGCTGGATTCTATGCTAACATGATCATCTTTTGCTCCTTTTTTTCGTGTGGCAGCACTGGAGAAATCCGAGGGCACTTGAAACAATTTCCTGAAGTAATCAGCTTAAGTAGCAAGTGTTTATACCTAGCATGTTTCTCCTTTTGTATGTTTCCTCTTTCTAGTTGGAAGGAGGTAGTTAAAATGTTGGAGTGAAGACTTTCGAATCTTGTAACTCGTTAGTAAACAGTATTATGTTGAACACAGTAGGTGTCCGTTCCATCTTTTCCCTTTATCTTCTCTAGTCCCTCAATGTAATAGAAATTTTATGAAGGAAAAAAAAAATCCTTTTGGCGGCTTATAAAGGTAAAGGAAGGAGTAACTAAGTAGGGAAGTGGATGAAAGATTGCTGAAAGAAAAATTTCTACTGCAATATTTTTCCTCTACTTGTCCCTATCTTTGATCAGAGTCAAATTAAGAGTAGAATTAGAGAGGGAAAATTAGTTGGAGCAAGCCTTGCATGTGAAAGAAGGTGGTTTGGGCAACGATCAGTGTGGAATTGAGCTGTTGGAATCAATCAATTTTAATGAATCATTGACAGATAGGGTTCCTACATGTGATTTGTTAAATGGTTACGACGTTTGGGAGTTTTGCGTTATTTGAGTTATGACGTTGGAAGTTTTTGGTTATTTTTGAAATTTTTTCTAAAGTAACGAAGAACCTAGTCCTACCTAAAGTTGGAAGTTTTGGGTTATTTTTGAAATGCAGATAAGAGTTTCAATTTAAACTTTAATAAGGGGTTGTTTGGTTTGAAGACAAATTATGCTGCGATGTGCGATTAGGTATTTCAATATTATTTCTTATTGGTTCTTTAGTACCCATGTTATATTATTTTTGGGATTGTCAATTTAACTGCTTTACCTGGAATTATTATTCCACTCTTTGGCATTTAGATTATTCCGGCACTATTTTTAATATTGGGATAACTTATTTCGAGATTAGTAAGAAAATAAAGGATAGGGCAATACTTAATTTTTGTCCCGGGATTATTTTTGCTTATCCATCGTACCAAACGCGACCTAAAAGAATTGGATTATTTTTGCTTATCTTAGCTTATTTTTCTCAGTTTTCAACTACAAAGTTAACATGTTTTAACAATGAACAGTCATTATCATGCACGTCACACATGAAAAAATAACATGTACCAATTTTACAATTCTTCATTCAATCTACACTTGTGAATTAAGTATGAACAAGACGTTTAACGGATACCACGTTCATAACAATTGGGTCTAGCTAGAGTATACTCTCCTTATGAAATTACTTTCTCATTATCGAATAGAAAACCAAAATTCACAAATAAAACTTGAATCTTTAATTTAAAAAAAAATTAAGCTCACGGAAATGGAATTAATCTATTTCCCATAGGGGATACTTTAAAAGGTTGATCCTCATATTTAATTTATTATCTTCTCGTTCTCCTTTTTTTTTTTTTTGGAGTTTATTCTTCTCTTTTCTACAACATTGGCAACAATATACAGTGTTTTCCTTGGAAAAGCGTTGACGGTGGGGGTTGAATGGGAGAATGTTAGAAAGAAAGAGGAAGACACAAACGTGAAAAACGTAAATGCACCAAAATAATAGTACTACTGAAAAAGGTAGACAGAAAAAGAAGCAGCACAATAGTATATTCTGTTGTTTTAGTTAAACAGATACTAATATTGATTACTTAATATTGTCCACAATGTAGTATATTATGTTACCACTTACCATCACTTATGTTTCATTCTTTGATGATTAAACTAATTCAATCTTTCTGTTTTTGTAAATCTTTTTTCGCTTATTCTAAATTTTGAACAAAAGAAATAATTTAAAAAAAAGACTTACCATGCCTGCAGTTTCCTGTCTCCTGCATATCCTTGTGCTTTCTCTTTCTGACAGGAAATTTACATTTTCCCTATATTTCGGATTTGAAAAATCCCATTTTTTAAGCATATTCTGAGCTACTTGTTCCCCATTTCTCTGCAATACACTCTCTTTCTATATCTGTATCTATTATTTCAATGATAGTTACCACAACCCTTTATTACAGACTTCTCTGAAGCTACCTGGAAGATACCACAAACAAGCATTTTGAGCTAAAATGCAATTTAAGCTTCAATTCTGGATCTAAAGTTATAATCTTTTCTTGATTTAAAAGACCCCCATTTGAATTAAAGCTATAAAAATGGTGGGTTTAGTAGAATCTTGGTGTTTCTGTAATGGGGTGGCATTTTGATCTAAAATGCTATTTTAGCTTCAATTCTGGATTTAAAGTTACAATCTTTTCTTGATTTAAAAGAACCCCATTTGAATTGAAGCTGCAATGATGGTGCGTTTAGTAGAATCTTGGTTTCTGTAATGGAGGTGACATTTTGAGCTAAAATGCTATTTCAGCTTCAGTTCTGGATTTAAAGTTACAATCTTTTCTTGAATTAAAAGAACCCCATTTGAATTAAAGCTATAAAAATGGTGGGTTTAGTAGAATCTTGGTGTTTTTGTAATGGGGGTGGCAAGTCTGAGAAAATGAAAGGTACCATTTTTTCAAGCAAAGGTCCTGCTATGGCTCGTATAGCTGCTACTGGTACTGGTTTCTTGATCCACCGGAATCTGCTGCTTACAACACATGTTATTCTTCCTTCTGTGGCTGCTGCTGAATCTGCTGAGATCCACCTCCAAAATGGTGTAGCTGCTTGCCTTTTTCCCCACAGGTCAGTTTTTATTCTAATTGAATTTATTCTTGTATTGTAGTTTTTGCTCTATAAAGTGGTATAATTACATTGGATCCATATGGTTGACTCCTACTAGTGTGATATTGAAGCGTAGTGATTATTGTAGTTATCTTTGTTCAGACACCAAAAGATGAAAGCTTTCCATGGTGTACATTATCAGCTTTCCTCTTATTGACTTTTATCTTTGTATTGTAGCTTTTGCTTTGTATAATGGAATAGATACATAAGATTCATATGGTTAAATCCAACTTGTTTGGGATTGAGATATTATCGTTGTTGTTTTTTAATTGTAGTTCTATCTTTGTTCAGATTCTAAAAGGGGAAAGCTTTCCTCTATTGTGCTTTGTAATTCCACCAAATGAATTATTTTTAGTAAAATGTTTACTCATAGTATTGGAATCTGTCAAAATCTTCTCCATTGACAGACCTTCTCTTTATTTGGCATTGGCACCATTTCAAGCTCCAACCTGATACTTCTGTTAACTAAGTACCATTTCCCTACCCCGGGAAGGGAAAAAGAAAAGAACTTCTCGTCACCCGTAGTCAAAAAAGGAGAAAGTGGGATGATGAATTAGTAATTTGGTTGTCTATTTCCCTGTAAAAGAAAAGCACGCTACAGTTTCATGAAGAGTTAGTGTTGTTGAAGTGAGAGTGCTTCTGTGCTTCTGGAAATTGTTTTTTTTTTCTCATGAGACAGAATTTTGCAGTAAATCTGTACATTTGAAAGGTATTTCATAATTTAGTCAATCATATGACTTGGAGCTGGATATCGGTTAATGTATCAGAAAATAAGTAAATATTTAAAGAAGACTACGAGGTAGATTCAAGATTGAAGTTTCTTCTCCATTTAACGAATAATATATTTATTGATTCAGATAGGACGCTTATGTTTTGGACCTTATACTTGCCAATAAAATGTTCAGTTGGTGAACGGCTTTTTGCTATGCATGTACATAATCATATCTGGTCCTGAAAAATTGGTGGTCTTAAATTGAGGTTATCATGTGGGTTACGTACTTTGATCTATTGGAAGAGCATACCAAGTGTTTAAAACTACTTAAGAAAGATTGCCATGCATTGATATCACACTTGAACTTCAGAAAAGAATTAGAGATCTGTGGCATATATTACAACTCAATTCCAGCAGAGCATCTAAACTGAATATCTCCACATTTTTACACTGAAAGGTCAAAAAAAAAGACAAGACTTCAGTTGCTTCCCTGCCTGCTTTCTGTTTCTAAAAATCCTCTGAATTTTTCATTCCAATATAACACAAAAGATGCATCAATGAATTGCTTCCTAGATGTTTTGGCTGCGGTTCTGCACTTTTCCCCCTTTCCAGCCCTCATGCCATAAGGACTGTTTTAGGACTTTAGGCATTACCAACTTTTAGCTGAGCAAGTTGAGACAAGTACGGCATCTGACTTACAACTGAATAGTGAAGAAAAAGATGATTAACAAATTCAATTATCATGAATTGTGAGTGGAAACTCTCTTCATCAAATTATGACGAGTCATGAGTAAGACAAGTCTCACGTTCTGCTATTCAACCAAAACATGCTACCCTTGAGGGGAATTTTGCTTTTCCAAATTAACTTCAATGGTCAATCCGCGATTCCTAGTAGAGACTCAAAGGTTCTGTAGCCTGAATCAACTGTAAAAGTACCCTTACTGTCACTGTCGATCTTAGAAAATTTTTACCTTCATTGCCCCAGCTCCGCTCCTCCAATCTACTTAATTTATCCAGCTCCGATTCTTGATAGTTCTTCAAAGACTGATTTTACAACAGCTTGCGGATCTGTACTGAGCAACAGTAGCGTCTGAAATCTGTAGTTGTATATGAATAAATCAAGATATGCTTCACGCAAGGGAGTATGAGAGTCCATCCAAATTTTGTCTTTTGCCCATCACTTACCTTATTCTAAGTAAATGGTTTGACATCTGTCCACAAGCCTCTTATATGATTCCACACTACACAGCTTTGAGGGTTTGCTCATTTAGTGCATGGGCGCTTCAATGTTGCGTACTTGCATTTCTGTTCCCCTCTCTTCTTTTTTTCTGGAGAGGGGAAACATTCAAAAAATCCCCTGCTATCTGGCACTAGATTCCTTCTTATGATTGAGTGAGCGCTTGTTAACTCATTTTGCTTCTGATAGGGGATTGCTTCTTAATGTTACGCATCATCACCTGTATATTTAATTTTTCACCCTGGTCATTTTTTTTTTTTTTTGCAGGTTCTTTATTACGAGCTCTATACTGGATCTGACTATAGTGGGCCTTGATGTCATGGATGGAGACACAAATGCGAATGTTCAGCAACCTCACTACCTGAAAACTTGTTCCAAACCTAGTCTGGAGCTGGGTAATGTCGTTTATCTGTTAGGTTATAGCGAGAAAAAGGAGTTGACAGCTGGCGAAGGAAAAGTGGCAATAGCCACTGACAATCTTATAAAGCTGTCAACTGATGGAATAACTTGGAGGCCGGGTTCTGCTGGTTTTGATGTTCATGGCAATCTTGCCTTTATGGTATGTGATCCTATGAAGCTAGCAACATCTCCTAACTCCAAATCCTCGTCAACTTCACCGTCCCCATTATCATCATGGAAAGACTGTCCTATGCAATTTGGCATACCGTTACCTATCATATGCGACTGGTTGAACCAACACTGGGAAGGGAGCCTTGATGACCTCAACAAACCCAAGTTACCGCTGATTCGGCTGATGTCGTCTGGTCAAAAGAGTGAGCATTCTTGTGCCTCCTTCACAATGCGGCGCATTTTTAAGTCAACTGAAGCTGATAATGAAGGGACACCATCATCTTCGAACCGAATATCGAGACCTAGAGAGGATCCGGGACCAAGCTGTTCTGCTGTTGCCACTAATTTGGAAGAGGAAGCAGTAACTCCTGATCCGCATGCTATTATCACTCATGTCCAGGGAGTTCCAACTCCTGAAATTTTTGAGTCGCGAAAGTTAACTTCAACACCAGCTAGGAAGAAGGAAAGTAGTACTCAAATCCAGCTTTTGGATATTAATTTTCCACCAAGGATTATTAAAACTGCTGAGTCACCACAGCTTGCCCGTAAGATCTTATCCAATGCTGATGATAATTTTATCAATAAAGCGAGAGAAGAAAAATCAAGTGGCGCTGAGGTTTCCTCGACTGGATCTGTTAATGGGGCCCAGAGTGAGGTTCAATCAAGTTCCTCTCTCATAGAAGTATTGGAAGCTCAAAATGAATACAGTAGCGATGGAGAGACGACAATGTACTCTGCAGAAACTGCTGAAAGCCGAAACTATCCAAGTCCTAAAGGGGGAAAGTTTCAGCAAGTAGGCAGAAGCCAAAGTTGTGTTAACTACAACAGATGGAAGCCGACTTCAAAAATTTCAGCAGCTCGTAGGGCAACGCAAGAACAGAAGAGGAGCACTATGCAAGGAAGAAAGGTCTATTCACAAGGGGCAACTTCTCAAAGGAGTAACGACTATTACAGCCCGACAGTAGCTTCAATCATGAAGAAACGGAATAACTTGGAGCTGCAAACCAAACCCCGTCTAAGTGCAGGAAATTCATCGCCAAGATGGAATTTCTGATTGAGAAATTCTGAAAAAAAATCATTCTTTTTATCAAGCTCTCCTTTTTTTGGGCTTATATACAGGTTATATTGGTGATTTACTGGGACTTGAATGACATTCACTAGTTAAGGATTGGCTAGTAACTGCTGCTTATCATTCTGTTGGCTGACAAAGCAAAATAGGTGATACAACATAGAAATTCAAGTGTAATGAGAAGTGAAAACAAAGGAAATGTGTGGTACTGTATTCTCTGAGGTAAATAATTCTCAGAAAAAGTAACTTGCTTTTTCTGAAGTGTAACTTAACCTCATTTTGATGCAATTCCTTATTATGTATATTTACTCTATGCAAACCAATAAAATTGGCTTCACTTTCATTTTCTTGTCTTAGTATGCTGATTAGTTTGGAATCATAACCAGAAATAGTGTTTTCCTCTTTGAAATTTTAGTATGCAAGAAAGTCTTGACCTATGTTATTGATGCCAAAGAAAGACTATTGTGAGGGCCAATTTGAATCCCAGAAGCAGGTTTAGGAACATCATATGGCCTCGTTTGGCACAAGGGATAAGGGTTAATTAATCCCGGGACTAAATTTGAGATGAGTTTATCCCAAGTTTGGTTTGGTTGGGATAAAATCGCGGTATAACTAATCCTGGGATTTTAGTGTAATTTTAACCCTACGGGAGGGTGGGATAACAATCTCGAGATAACTAATCCCGTGATAATTAATCCCGGGATAACTTATTTCCCAACTAAACGACTCCTTAGAGTATAATCCATTGAAGGAATTTACAACATTTTGGTGTGAAATCTCATTTTCGTCCACCAAAACTTCCAAGAAAACAGACAAAATCATTAGAGACAGCGCTGGAGTTATGCAACACCAAGAGCGTCCGAGACCATACTTGCAGTGATCACATAGTACAGGATAGTCTTATTATAGTTACCACTGCTGTAGGCTTAGGGGCGGATTTACCTTAGGCTAAGCGGTGTTACACTATACCGCTTCGTTGGAAAATTTCACTACATACAAATATAAATGATATGCAAAAATTAACAAATCCTTACAAATAATATAGAATGACGCCACTTGGTAAATTTGTGTTGCTTGGTCCGTTGGTTAAGGCACTGCGCTTCTCGAGTTTGGTTCATTTATTTGTTTACTCTTTTAAATGTGACCTTGCTTATAAAAAAACCTGCGTACGTTACTCTGTAGGCTTGTGGCGTTCGGGTCAACTTGTATCATCTTGACTATCTCATTGGGTACCACACGTTACTCTGTAGGCTTGTGGCGTTCGGGTCAACTTGTATCATCTTGACTATCTCATTGGGTACCACAGTACAAACATCACATAATTGTTTCGGCTTATGTAGATGGGAAGGACTCACCTAGGATTGATCTACCATGATTCTTATCCGACTTTATTGACCGTTAGGTCACATTCTTGCGTGCGATTAGTAAGCAGACCAAAGACAAAAAGTCCACCTACTTGGCCAATAGTTAAGATCTTCACTGCAATATCAATAACTGTATACCTGTTTAGCCATACCATATTTTGTCATGATATTACAACATCTACCATTTTATACCTTTGGTTTTTTTCAGGTACAATAAATAGCCTTGTAGTAACAAGTACTACATTAATATTACCTAACAAAGATTATACATTGCTCTGTCCGTTAACCAACTGAAGAATAGGATAAAGTACTACTATCATGTCTAAGGGCAGCCCGGTGCACTAACCTTTGATCAACAGTCTAAGGGCAGTCCGTTGCATTATGCTCCCGCTATGTGCGGCGGGGAAGGGCCGGACCACAAGGGTGTATTGTACGCAGTCTTGCCCTACATTTTTGCAAGAGGCTGTTTTCATGGCTCGAACCCATGACTTCCTGGTCACATGACACCAACTTTACTAATTACGCAAAGGCTCCCCTTCTGCCACTATCATGTCTAAGATTGATAAATAAATGGAGTGCTCTAAACTCACTTGGCCTGATCCTATCCACTCCTCCTATAGCTTTTTCTTTCGTGACATACATGGGACAACCATGCAATCAGGGTTGTGCTATAGCTAATAAGGCTGGTGCCTTAGCCTTCAAATTTAGGGCCCTCATTTTTTTTTAGAAATAATAGGTATATAATTATTTAATTAAACTAAAGTTTAAAGTTTTTAGTATAACAGTAGACTTTTTCATATAAAAGAAAAGAATTTTTTTAGTTATATAAATATAACTGTTTGACTTACTTAAAATGGGTAGTATGAATAATTTTTCTAACGTGTGAATTGAAATTTATTTGATAAGAAAAAATAGTACAAATAGAAGATACTATATACTCAATCAAATAAAAAGGCTCGATTCTTTTCAAATGTTTATATTGCTTATAGAATAGTATTATCATTTCCTATAACAATTTCCTCAGCGGAAACAAGTTTTTCAAAATTAAAATTGATAAATCTTAGCTAAGATTAATAATGTCCCAAGAAAGATTAAATGAGTCGGCGATAATATCAATTGAAAAGGAATTATTGGAAGAAATCGATTATATTTTTTTTAACAATTTTGCATTTCAAAAAACTAGAAGTATAAAAAAACATATATATTATAAGTTTTTTTAAAAATAAATAAATTTTGACTTTAGGTCACGTGTGAGCTTGAGCCACCCTGCATGCAATAGATGTTGAAAGGAGTAATAAAGTTAGATGGTTTTTTTTTGTTTCATTTGTTTTTATGTTTCAGTGTCTCTTATATTTTTCATTCTTAGTTTCTTAAAGGAGTAATAAAGTTAGATGTTTTTTTTTTTTTTGTTTCATTTGTTTTTATGTTTCAGTGGCTCTTATATTTTTTATTCTTAGTTTCTTATTCAGTTATAGTTAAATAGACTAAACAAGTTATTAAAGCTAAACAATTATACCTGGATAAAGCATCCAAAAGGACAAAGCAACTCGTGTCTTTTTCCCTAAAAGCCCTTTTAGAATACACTCCCCTATGAGGGCCAAGGACTCAAGGGTAAAAATAAACTTATTGCTTATTTAATTTAAAATAAACACATATTTTAAATAATATCTTTGTATGGGTCAGAATCCGACCCCACGATAATTAACGAAGGTAATCCTGTCTTAAGCTAATTCATGATTGATTAGTGGTACGACCACTCAGAATTAACGGTATCCAACCCTTATCTGATTCGATCAACAAGGCCACGACCCGTCCGTCATTATGAAGGCGAAACCCCAACGTGGTCACGACCACTTATTGCCAACTCACGAAGCTCACAGCTATAAATACCAAGAGAGGAAGCCCTAGAAAGGGGGGCTTCTTCTTCTTTACTATTCAAGAGAGAGAGAGAGAAAGATATAACGATACACATATTATGGGAAAGTGGAACATCATTGTAAGGCTCTGAACCTCTTCATGGAGAGGCAGACCACAACAATACTATCAATAAAAGCTTTTAATGTCTCTCTTCCTAACGCTGAGTACTTATTTGCGCATCTTTCATTTGGTCTAATGGATTATTACAGTTTGCTATGATTTTTCCGTGATTTATTTATATTGTTTACACTCATAAGGTATATAATAACTTTTGAGCGAACAATTTGGCGCCGTCTGTGAGGATTTCCTAGCAAAATCGCGTAGTTCTTCCCTGGACCAAAAGGAAAGAAATGCCAAACTCGAAAGGGAACTCGAAGATCTCAAATCAAGATCCAAGTCCTCTCTCTCTCTCTCTCTCCGATCTCAGATAGTGCAAACAAAAAGAAGAAGCCCCCCCCCCCCCAAGGGAGGATCTCTGTAAAGCATCTCCCGCATCCCCGATACGGGCTCCGGCTGGAAACCGGCATGGAGATATCTCGAGCCGAGAGTCGCTTCAAGACAACCTACATACCCCGATTGGGAAGACAACGTATAAGCTGCTCAAGGTCTCGAATCAAAATCGAGCTTCAGCACCCAATACCCACAGCGTGAGACTCAGGTTATGCGCCTTCGCCATCAAAATCGACAAAGTTCAACAACAGTTGAACTGGGACTCAGGCTATGCGCCTTCGCCATTAAATCAAGGCCATGCGCCTTCGCCAGTAAGTTCAACTACGGTTGAACCAAGACTCAGGCTATGCGCCTTCCCATCAAAATCGACAAAGTTCAACAACAGTTGAACTGGGACTCAGGCTATGCGCCTTCGCCAGTAAGTTCAACTACGGTTGAACCAAGACTCAGGCTATGCGCCTTCGCCATCAAAATTGACAAAGTTCAACAATAGTTGAACTGGGACTCAGGCTATGCGCCTTCGCCATTAAATCAAGGCCATGCGCCTTCGCCAGTAAGTTCAACTACGGTTGAACCAAGACTCAGGCTATGCGCCTTCGCCATCAAAATGGACAAAGTTCAACAACAGTTGAACTGGGACTCAGGCTATGCGCCTTCACCATTAAATCAAGGCCATGCGCCTTCGCCAGTAAGTTCAACTACGGTTGAACCAAGACTCAGGCTATGCGCCTTCGCCATCAAAATGGACAAAGTTCAACAACAGTTGAACTGGGACTCAGGCTATGCGCCTTCGCCATTAAATCAAGGCCATGCGCCTTCGCCAGTAAGTTCAACTACGGTTGAACCAAGACTCAGGCTATGCGCCTTCGCCATCAAAATTGACAAAGTTCAACAACAGTTGAACTGGGACTCAGGCTATGCGCCTTCGCCAGTAAGTTCAACTACGGTTGAACCAAGACTCAGGCTATGCGCCTTCGCCATCAAAATGGACAAAGTTCAACAACAGTTGAACTGGGACTCAGGCTATGCGCCTTC